CGGCGAGGCCTTCCAGCGGCTATTTGTCGCGGGCACCTGGAGCGGAGGAGGAGAGATACGCGGCGCGGCCTTGGACCAGGCATTTCTGCCCATTAGGCTGGGCGGATTCGGCATCCGCCGCATGGCGCGCGCGGCGCCAGCGAGCTACCTCTGCTCCTGGGCGCAGTGCGCCCCCATCCTCTGCTCCCTCCCACAGATCGGTGAGTCCTTCAGACGGGCGCTCGCGGCGGAGGACCCCTGCAGGGATCGATCCCCACATCGCGACGGCTTTGGCAGACCTTCCACCGGCAGTCCGGGCCTTGCTGCCACCCCTGTCCTCTTGCATCTCGAGCGCGCCGGACGGTCTGTTTTCTGAGGTGAGTCGCACCTAGAGGCGGCGGCATTAGAGTCCGTTCGTGGACGTCACACTGACCCTTTGCATCTTGCCCGTTTGACATCCCTTCAGGGCGCAGATGCAGGCGCGTGGCTCACGGCGGTCCCTTATGCAGATCCACTGCGCATCCCGGAGGCGCAGTGGCAGGTGGCTTCATGTTTTCGCCTTGGTCTGTCTATCCCCCAGTTAGCCCTTACAGGTCGTTGCTCGTGCGGACGGGAGATCGAGGACATGTCGGTGCCCCACCACGTCGTACGCTGTCAGCACTACCACGTCACCACGACCGTCCACAACGCCGTGAAGTACGTCCTTCGCGACATCGCGCGCGAGGCGGGTTTCGCGGTCAGGGTGGAGGACACGGCGCTCATCCCACACCTGGAGGAGGTGCGACGGCGCTTGACAGCCCAGCGCAGCGGGAGGGGGCACAGGCGGGAGGGCCTACGCTGGCACAGGGACGGACTCGGACAGGACGGGGGCACAGAGGGCCCAGGGAGGGGAGGAGGGACGGCAGGGAGGGGGGGAGGGACAGCAGGGAGGGGGGAGGGACAGCAGGGAGGGGGGAGGGACAGCAGGGTGGGGGGGAGGGACAGCAAGGAGGGGGGAGGGGCAGCAGGGTGGGGGGAGGGACACGAGGGAGGGGGGGGAGCACCAGGACAGCAGGGAGTGTGGGGACTGCCGGGACAGTCGGGACAGCAGGCACGGCTGGTGCCGCAGACGCGGGGGACAGAGGCGGGAGTCCTTGGACAGGGGCCACGGCCACAGGGACAGCCCGTTTCACACGGTAGGACGGTACAGCCGCAGCAGCCGCAGCTGAGGGAGGGCCAGGGGAGGCGCCTGGGGCGAGGGAGACGGGGGGCTCAGGAAGGGGGAAGGGCGGATGGGGCTCGGGGGAAAGGACTCAGGGTACCGCAGGAGAGGGGGGGGCAGCCCGACCACAGGGTGGTGGGGGGAGGAGATCGAGGAGATAGTCATGGTCGAGGGAGGGGGTCAGATAGCAGGGGACCGAGCACGGGTCGGGCCAGAGGCAGCTAGAGGGGCCAGAGGGGGTGTGGAGCTTGATCCCCGCCAGGGGACAGGGGCACAGGAGGGCGAGAGAGTGGCACGGGGAGGGGGGATAGCAGGGGGGACGGGGGGGGGCGAGGGAGTGGGAGGACGGGAGGAGCGGGGCAGGTAGATGGAGAGGGTCTGGGGGAGGGGATAGGAGAGGCAGGGGGGTTGGGAGGGGTAGGGGCAAGGGAAAGGGAAGGGAGGGTGAGAGAGGAGGATGAGGGGGGGACAATGGCACAAGGAGGAGGGGACCAGGGGACACGACTAGGCAGCAGCCCACACCGCAGCACAGCACAGCCGGACGCGCAGGCCGCGCAGGAGCACCCGCACGCATCCCCGACCTCACATGCCGCGACGCTGAGAAGGCACTCATGATTATTATAGACGTGTCGATAGCGGATCCACAGCGGGGTGGGAACGCACAGTTTCGGCGAGCGGCATCCACACAGCGGGGGGTGGCGGCGACGAGGCGGGTGCAGGAGAAGATCAGGGACTGGCGGCCGGCCTTGGTAGGGGTGCAGCCGGAGCCGATGTTCTATGCGTGCGTTGCTGAGACTTTCGGGCACTTGAGCGTGCCACTGCGAGATTTCTGGGGCTCTGCTCACAACGCATAGCGACGCAGCGGCGGGACGCGGGTAGTGGGGAGGAGGCATCGGCGCGGATCTTTGAGTGCGCTCTCACCACGCGAGTTTCAGTGGCGCTGCAGCGTGCGCAGGCGAACATTATCACACAGCATGCAGTGCGACAGCTGGGAGAGTCGGACGATGCATGGATGCCGATACCGGTACCGCTTGGCGCAGGCAGCTGGAGCGGACATCACATCAGTGGCTGCTTTGACAGTGTGGCCGATATGCAGTACCTGTTTGATGGCTATGTGTAGATGAAAACAAGAGTAGGCTGTGCTTGAAACGCTGTGTCTGCGCTGTAGGCGCGGGTTGCTGCTTTGTCGTGTCCCTTGGACCCCTCCCTCCTTACAGTCACACCCCTCCTCTCTTCCACCTCTCTCACCTCCCTCTTTCTTTTCCCTTACTCCTATCTTTCTTGATCCTCCTACTTCTTCTATCCTTCTCTTTCTTTCCCTCTCTTTCTACCTTCCCTTCTCTTCTTTTCCTCTCTACTTTCTCTTCTCTTCTTTCCCTTCTCTTCCTAACTTCCAAAAACATTACTGTGGTCGTATAGCGTAACATTTATGCCGAAATTTCCAACTTCGGTTTCATATTGGCTATATGACTTGTAACTCTCTTTGTTATTAATAAAATAACTGCTCTCGCCCACTGGCGCTTAGCTGCGGAGTTCTGATGGGATCCGGCGTAGTAGCCAAGGTATGATCGTACCACGTGCAGTCCTGTCCGCGGTCCGCTTCCCACTCCTCCCCCGAGGCAGCTCCCCTCTTTATAGTCACATCCGCGAACGTGCCCGCAAGAGGCTCGCCATCTCGCTGGGGGCGGAATGGACGCCCATACGTAGTCGCGCTCCGTGGCGTCCTATGCAGAGAGCGGCCCTCCGCAGAGCGGCGCGACATCGCCGCCCGGGCGGTTCGGAGAAGAATCCTCCTTTCTTTTTCCCACTGCCCCTCCCGGGCACGGGAGCAGGCAGAAATGGGTACGACACGAGGACTTCCCGGGAGGTCACCCTGCCCAGTACTGCTCTCGCCCACTGGCGCTACGCTGCGGAGTTCTGATGGGATCCGGCGTAGTAGCCAAGGTATGATCGTACCACGTGCAGTCCTGTCCGCGGTCCGCTTCCCACTCCTCCCCCGAGGCAGCTCCCCTCTTTATAGTCACATCCGCGGTCGTGCCCGCAAGAGGCTCGCCATCTCGCTGGGGGCGGAATGGACGCCCATACGTAGTCGCGCTCCGTGGCGTCCTATGCAGAGAGCGGCCCTCCGCAGAGCGGCGCGACATCGCCGCCCGGGCGGTTCGGAGAAGAATCCTCCTTTCTTTTTCCCACTGCCCCCTCCCGGGCACGGGAGCAGGCAGAAATGGGTACGACACGAGGACTTCCCGGGAGGTCACCCTGCCCAGTACTGCTCTCGCCCACTGGCGCTTAGCTGCGGAGTTCTGATGGGATCCGGCGTAGTAGCCAAGGTATGATCGTACCACGTGCAGTCCTGTCCGCGGTCCGCTTCCCACTCCTCCCCCGAGGCAGCTCCCCTCTTTATAGTCACATCCGCGAACGTGCCCGCAAGAGGCTCGCCATCTCGCTGGGGCGGAATGGACGCCCATACGTAGTCGCGCTCCGTGGCGTCCTATGCAGAGAGCGGCCCTCCGCAGAGCGGCGCGACATCGCCGCCCGGGCGGTTCGGAGAAGAATCCTCCTTTCTTTTTCCCACTGCCCCCTCCCGGGCACGGGAGCAGGCAGAAATGGGTACGACACGAGGACTTCCCGGGAGGTCACCCTGCCCAGTACTGCTCTCGCCCACTGGCGCTTACCTGCGGAGTTCTGATGGGATCCGGCGTAGTAGCCAAGGTATGATCGTACCACATGCACTCCTGTCCGCGGTCCGCTTCCCACTCCTCCCCCGAGGCAGCTCCCCTCTTTATAGTCACATCCGCGAACGTGCCCGCAAGAGGCTCGCCATCTCGCTGGGGGCGGAATGGACGCCCATACGTAGTCGCGCTCCGTGGCGTCCTATGCAGAGAGCGGCCCTCCGCAGAGCGGCGCGACATCGCCGCCCGGGCGGTTCGGAGAAGAATCCTCCTTTCTTTTTCCCACTGCCCCCTCCCGGGCACGGGAGCAGGCAGAAATGGGTACGACACGAGGACTTCCCGGGAGGTCACCCTGCCCAGTACTGCTCTCGCCCACTGGCGCTACGCTGCGGAGTTCTGATGGGATCCGGCGTAGTAGCCAAGGTATGATCGTACCACGTGCAGTCCTGTCCGCGGTCCGCTTCCCACTCCTCCCCGAGGCAGCTCCCCTCTTTATAGTCACATCCGCGGTCGTGCCCGCAAGAGGCTCGCCATCTCGCTGGGGGCGGAATGGACGCCCATACGTAGTCGCGCTCCGTGGCGTCCTATGCAGAGAGCGGCCCTCCGCAGAGCGGCGCGACATCGCCGCCCGGGCGGTTCGGAGAAGAATCCTCCTTTCTTTTTCCCACTGCCCCTCCCGGGCACGGGAGCAGGCAGAAATGGGTACGACACGAGGACTTCCCGGGAGGTCACCCTGCCCAGTACTGCTCTCGCCCACTGGCGCTACGCTGCGGAGTTCTGATGGGATCCGGCGTAGTAGCCAAGGTATGATCGTACCACGTGCAGTCCTGTCCGCGGTCCGCTTCCCACTCCTCCCCCGATGCAGCTCCCCTCTTTATAGTCACATCCGCGAACGTGCCCGCAAGAGGCTCGCCATCTCGCTGGGGAGGGTATCGGCAACGGCTACGAGCGGGTGAGACGGAAGCGGCGGCGAACACGACCCTGCGGTGTCGAGCGATTTTTCGCCACCCCCGTCGATCTCGCCATCCCACCCCGGCTAAGTCCCCCGTCACTCTCGCTCGCCTCCCACCCTCCTCCCTCTCTCTCTTCTAGTTCACCGCGTCGCGCTTTTCTCAGCTTTCTAGTTTCTAAGCTTAGATCCGCGCCACGCCACCTAACCCTAAAATCGGTCGCCAGCACCAGTTCGTTTTTCCGTTCGTTACAGCGTCCTCTCTCCCCCTCTCACTTAGCGCACCCTTCGTGTATTCCCTGGCGCGCCGTCCCCGTATTTCGTTCCCGCGCGAAACTAGGCCAACACTAGCGCCAGGAGAGCCCCCACCTCCTCCACACCCATGGCCACAGGTAGCAAGGCTGGCACAGGTGAGGCCGCAGCAGGGCCTGTGGCAGGGGAGGGGGATGCGGCAGCACCGGGGGGTCCTGCAGAGGTGGCAGCAGAGATGGGGGTGTGGGAGGTGAAAGTGGGGGTGACGGAGAGGGAGGAGGGGGAAAGATCGGCAGAGACGGTGGGGGCTGGTGAGGACTCAGAGTGGGACGAGGCCGGGGACTCGGATGGGGACAACGCGAAGGACTCGGATTGGGTTTTGGAGGGCGCCGAGGACTCGGATGAGGACGTAGTTGAGCTCATAGCACCCGCTCCTAGTGCAGCCAGGCTCGAGGCCGTGTCCTCAGCAGGGGAGCCAGCGACGGGAGCCGTGGGGTTGGCAGGAGCGGCAGCTGGAGCGGAGGCGGAGGGGGAGGTGGCACGGGCTGGGGTAGAGAGGGCAGCATTAGAGGGTATGGCCCGGGCCTATGCGCGGTCCATGGCCGCATGTGGTGCGGCGCCGGAGGCAGCAGCAGGAGAGGCTGCAGGTGTGGCAACTGCAGGGGCGGTTGCAACAGTGACAGCCATCAGGACCGCGGCAAAGGAGGCTGCCGCAGGAGTCACCGCAGGGGGTACTCCAGCGGAAGCTGCTATGGCAGAGGCGGAGGCAGGAGAGGCTGCATGGGGGAAGGTGGAAAAGGCGGCTGCAGAGGCGGCAGCAGCACGGGCTGTAGCCGCAGGGGGAGGAACGACAGCCGTGGTGGGAGGGGCGGCTGTGGGGGCTGCCGCAAAGGTCTTTGCAGAAGTGGCAGCAGCTCCAGCACCGGCAGAGGCGCAGGCACCTGGGCCAGCTGCAGCGGGGGCGGCAGAAGGAGACCCTGCAGAGGTAGCAGCCGCTGGGGGTGGGGCCGCTCCAGAGTTGGCAGCAGCCGGGGGGTGGTCGCGGCGGCGGCAGCGACAGCTGGGGCTGCAGCAGAGACGGTGGCAGCGGGAGCATGGGCAGCGGCGGCAACAGCTGGGGCCTCCGCGGAGGAGGCGGCAGCAATGGATCATGCAAGAGGTGCATCGGCTCGGGCTCGGGCTCGGGATGCGGCAGAGGCAGCAGCAGCAGGGGCCACAGGGGCAGCCGGGGCGGATTTGGGGGCAGCAGCAACAGCAGGCGCCCCTGCAGAGGCGGCAGAGGCGGGAGCAGCGGCGGTGCAGGCGGCGACAGCGGCAGGAGCTGGAGCTGCCACCGCAGAGGAGGCAGCAGCAGCCGATCTTGCGAGGGGCGCAGCGACCGGGGCTCGGGATGCCGCAGAGGCGGTGATGGCTGGGGCCGCTGCAGCGGCCAGGGTGGCTGCCGGGGAAGCAGATGAAGGAGTCCCTGCTGAGGCGGCGGGGGCAGGGACAACGGCAGAGGCAGCGGGGGCAGCAGCGGCAGCAGCAGCAACAGGAGCACGTGCAGGGGCGGCTGCTGGTGCGGCAGGGATAGGAGAGCCGCCGGAGGCGGCAGCAGCGGCAAGGCTACCTACGGCGGAGGAGGCAGGAAAGGGAGCTGTTGTACGCGCTCTCGCACGGGCTATTACCGGGGGGGGATGTATGCACGTCTGGCAGCTGCTGCGGCAGCAGCGGAGGAGGCAGAGATAGGGGCCGCTGCGGGGAAGGCAGCCAGGGGGAGCGCCACAGGGAAACCAGCAGCAAGTGCTGCGGCAGGGAAGGCAGCAGCGGGGGCAGCGGCAGGGAAAGTAGCAATGGGTCCCGCTGTTTCGCAGGCAGCGGCTAGCAGGGCCGCGACAGCGGCGGCGGCGGCAGCGGCGGCGGCGGCGGCTGTGGTGGTGTCAGCGGAAAAAGGGGCAGCAGGGGGTGCCGCACCGGGGGCAGCAGCGGAAGCGGCCGCAGGGAAGGTAGCAGCAGGATCAGCAGGGCGTGCCGCGGGGGAGACAACCGCCGGGGTAGCTGCGGGGATGGCAGCAACAGGAAGGGCAGCTGGGGTGGCAGCAGGGAAGGCAGCAACAGCAGCAACACGGGCAGCGGCAAGAGGTGCTGCACGGGAGAGGGCAGCGGGAGCCGCTGCAGGAAGGGCAGCAGCTGCGGCAGCTCCAGCAGGAGGTGTGGTGAGAGAGACAGCAGCCGGAGCGGCTGAAGGTAAGGCAGTAACTGGGATGAGGGCTAAGGAGGCCGGACACAGGGCAGCACCTGGGCCGGAAGAGACTGTCTCATCCCCTCCCACCCCCCCCCCCCCCTCCCCCCCCCTCCTTCCCCTCCTCCCCCTACTTCCCTTGCGGTCCCCCGTCCCCCCCTTCCCCCCCCTACTCCCAATCCCATGCATGCAGGGGCTTCACCAGCGGCGCAGGGCCCTCGCTGTGGGCTACAACCCAGGGCTATGGGCGGGGCGGCCCGAGCCTTGGCGTTTTTGGCGGACCCCTGTACACCCGAGCCAATGATCGGGACGCAGTCTCACCACTCCCTCTCCCCCCACACCCTCCCCTTACAGCCGAGTGTGCCCCAGGAGGCGGCCGCCGAGGATGGCTCGGACAATGATGGCCCGCTCGCCGGATATATCTTGGTCGACTCAACCCTTCCTTGCTCTCCCTCAGCAGCCCTCGCGCCGGCGCCAGGAGCACAAACAACAGCCGGGCAGGTTGCTCCCTCCCCCTCCCCACCCACGCAGGCTGTCGCGCCGGACGCCTCGACCTGGGTAGCACAAGGAGGGGCGGCTCTTGCCCAACCCCCCTCGTCAGTCCGCCCCCAACCCTGTTCCACCCCAGGTGCCTCCCGCCCGGCACAGGGCACACACCCTGTCGGCCACACGGGCGCTTCCCATAGGAACGGTGAGCGGGGTGCACCCCTCGCAAGGGGGAGCAACCCGAATCAACTCCCTCTCGGCCCTCGCCGTCTCACCCCGGCTGATCCCACTTCCCAAGCCCCACAGCTAAGCTTCGGGCAAGGCGGGGGTCCCTCGGCGCCCACTCTGCTTCCCTTCCCGGCCGTGGGCCCTACCTTGCCCGCGCCCCGCCCCCCCCCTCCCTCTCCCACACATCCCACCCGCCCCCTTTCCCCGGCAATCCAGCCGGAACTCCCCTCGCGCCCTTTCGTGCAGCCCCCAGGTTTCATGTCCCGCACGGCAGGCGACCACGGGAGTGCCTCCCTCTTGGGCCCTCCCTTGTCACTTCCGTCTCACACACCCTCCAGCCCAGCGCTGGGGCACCCACCCCTCCCACCCCCTCCATTGAGCGTCCCACCCACGCTTAACCCTTACCCTGCTGCCCAACCACCTCTCTTGCCCTGCCCCCCCACTCCCGCCCGGCCCATCAGCGCGAACAGGGGCGAGGCGAGGGCGGCCCCCCCATCTCACCCTCCCCCTTCCTGCCCCACACACTCCTTGCCCGTCAGTATTCAGGTGGTCGCAGCGAGCCACCCATCCGCGATGGACGTCGACAAAATAGGAGTAGGGGACCTGCATGATGTCTCCTCCCAACCCTACATCCCCCCTTTCCGTCGCTCCGCACAGGCAGCGATGTCGGCAGACGCCCAGGGGGAAGGGGACGGGGAAGGTGTCGGGGGAGGGCGGGGCATTGCGGATGGTGCTGCCGATTCCACCACCGCCACCACCCCTCACTTTCCCCCCTGTCCCCATCTGCACCCGCCCCAGGGCAAGCCGCCATCCATGCGCAGGCTAGCCCATCGCGGCAAGCGGCCATCGGCGGCCACACCCCCTCACCCTCCCAGCTGCCCCATTCTCACACTCCTCACCCACAGCAGGGGGCGGTCACACGGCAGCCGCTGATTGGACAGTTTGCCCAACCCCACACAGGTCGCCGGAAGAAGGGCAAGGGCACGGGGACACCCGGGGCAGCCCGGCGCTCGGAGCAGCCGGACACGACTCCACCCTCTGCTGGCGTGCAGCCCTTACCATCCACCACCCCTCAGGCGACCCCATCATTGCCCCCGGCCCGCCACCCACTGCCCTCCCATAACCAGGATGGCGAGCTTCGGACGGTCTCCCTCCCTCACCCCACCCAGGCCCCACTCCCCTGTCACCCACCCATCCCGCCATTGGCCCCCCACCAGACGGTCGCCGCCGATGCCCCATCCGCGATGGAAATCGAACCGGAGGCGGAAGAGGTGTCGTTAGCCTCTCGCAAGCAAGCCTATATCCCCCCCCAGCGTCGGTCCCTACCACCCGCCTCTTTGTCCCCCTCCGGTCCACAACCTCCGACCCAGGTCAGGGCCCACGGTGGTTCGCCCACCACGACCAACCAGCCTGCCCTGCTCCCCCTACCCACAGGCGGACAGTCGCAGGGGGCAGATGGGGAGACGGAGGCGGCAGTTGCCGACCTTCTCAGGATATGGGACACGTCCGCCACCCCCTCTACGCCCGCTTGTCCGGGTCGGGTGGGGGGGGCACCGTGGACTCTGCCCCAGACATCTCCCATGCCCCCCCCTCCCCCCGTCCACCGCCCTCACACCGGAGCGCATGGTGATCGATGACTCCGACGCGGCCCCCGACCACCCGCTCCCCTCCCCCCAGGATGCAGGGGCCGCACCTAGGCCCTCGGGCCCCCGCCGATCCCTCCCCCTCTTTCGACATCGCCGCCGCCGCTGACCCCCGTCCGACCCCAGGTGGCAGGTGAGCCTCCTTCCCCGAGGGCGGGCGACTATCGACCGGACCCGGTCGTCGAGCCGGCCGCCTCCACCGCGAGCTCTGACGATACCGCCCACACCGATCACGCGGACGAGTCCACGCCAGCCCATGAGGTGAGATGTCCCACGTGTCTGAACCTCATGGCGGACGATAGAGCTCTCCGCCACCACACACCTCACTGCACCCCGAGCGATGAGGCACGCCGTGTGCAGGCCCGCCAGGAGGCCGCCTCGGTCGGCGGGTCACTCTCACGCCCGGGTTCATCTGTCCCGGTCTTTTCCGACGCGCAGTGGGCGCAGCTGGACTCTGTGGATTGGAGGGAGTATTTCTCTCCGTCCCGGACGCATGCTCGCCCGCTCCGGCGCATTCCGCCGAGGGTCCGCGGAGGCATCTCTGATGTCCTCCGCGCGATCACCGCCCGTATGGAGCAGTATCCGGATGCCGACGGGCCCCACTTCTTGTTCACGGCGGTGCCGACGCTGTTCTTAGCGCCAGCTACTCCACCAGAGCGGGGCCACACAGCTTCCATCGCGGCTCGCGTCGCGCGCTTCTTCCGAGGTGAGTGGGACTCTCTCTTCTCCGACGCGCTGCGTCGTCGCACGCCCCTGCCCACCCGCACATCACGTCGCACCCCCGTCACCACCACGTCGGGAGACGAGCGTCGGATTGCGCGTTGCCTGCGCTTGGCAGCGTGCAACGAGACATCTCGTGCGTGCGCGGCACTGGAGTCGGCCGAGGCGGCTCCAGACACGGATCGCACGGTGCATAGCCTACGGGCTAAGCACCCTAGCGCGGAGCGCCCTCTACCGGAGTGGCTCTCCACCTTCCACGAGGACGGCCTCGTGCTCTCTGCCACCCACTTGCGCCAGGCCATTTTCACTGCACCGCGGGGCTCGTCGGGGGGACCGACCGGATGGGTGGCAGAACACCTCCGTGACACCTACTTGGCATTCCCACAGACCCTACCCTCCTTGCTGTCTGTGTACCAGCTCTGGCTCGGAGGACGCTGCCCCTCAGCTGCGCGTTCTCTTTTGGCCTCGTCCACCCTTGTGGCTCTCGCGAAGCCGAACGGGGACGTGCGGCCGATCGCCATTGGAGAGGTGCTCGTGCGCGTCCTCTCCCGCGCAGTCTGCCTCCAGCTCCGCGACCAGATGGCGAGAGTGTTCCTCGCGTCACAGCAGTTCGGAGTCGGGGTCACGTGTGGCACAGAGGTCACCGTTAGAGGCGTTGTCCGCGCTCTAGCTGACCACCCAGGCTGGGTGGTTCTGCAGCTGGACGTGGCCAACGCCTTTAACTCTTTCTTTCGCGACGTCTTGTTCCAGGCACTGCATGCCAGTCCTGAGTTCAGGTGCCTCATTCCTTTCATCCGTCTTTTCTACGGCACGCCGTCCGATCTGCTCTATCGGACCGGCAGGGGAGTCACCACGATGCACTCGGAGCGCGGCACTCGGCAGGGAGACCCGCTGAGCCCGTTTCTCTACGCCCTCACGCAGCGCCTTGCCCTGGAGCCCGTCCTGGCAGGGGGTGACGTCCAGCTCTGGTCGTACGCCGACGACACCTACCTCGTGGGCCCTCCGGACAGGGTGCTGCACCACTTCACGGGGGTCGTGAGGCGCTTGGGCGGGTTGGGCCTTGCTGTCCAGCCGCACAAGTGCCTTGTCCATCACACGTCGGTGATCCTGCCTCGCGACGTGCAGGCTTTCACCGATCTGGGCATCGAGGTCGCACGCCGGGGGCTCACCGTGACGGGCGTCCCGGTTGGCACCGAGACCTTTGTGACGACCAGCCTGCGGGACCGACTGGAGAGGATGGCCGGGGTGCTGCCGTGGCTCCCGAGGCTGCGGCAGCCACAGACAGCGGCGCGCCTGCTCTCCGCGTGTGTCAGCACACGTCCGCAGTACTTGGCGCGGACAGTCCCCCCATCACCAGAGGTACGTGCCATCTTTGCAGCGTGGGACGCGCGCTTGGGAGCGACCTTCCAGCAGCTCCTGGTGCGAGGTACGTGGAGGGAGGGGGACGCGATCTGCGGGGCAGCCCTGGAGCAGGCTTTCCTCCCGATTCGCATCGGGGGCTTCGGCATCCGACGCATGGAGCGCATCGCCCCGGTGAGTTATCTCTGTTCGTGGGCGCAGTGCGCACCGATTCTCTGCTCGTTGCCGTCGGTGGGGGAGGGCTTCCGTCAGAGCTTCGCATCAGGTGAGCCCGCCCAGATCGATCCGCACATCATGATGGCTCAGGAGGCCCTGCCGGCGGACGTCCTACGCCTCATGCCGGCCTGGCCTTCTTGCGCGACAGGAGCACCGGACGGCCTTTTCAGAGAGGCCAGCAGACACATCGAGGCGCACGCTTTGGAGTCGGTACGTGCCCGTCATACTGATCCCCTGCATCTTGCCCGTTTGACATCCCTTCAGGGTCCAGGTGCGGGAGCTTGGCTTACGGCGGTACCCTACGCGGACTCCCTGCGCATTCCGGAGGCGCAGTGGCAGGTGGCTTCATGCTTTCGTCTCGGTCTCCCCATTCCCCAGTTAGTCCTGGCAGGTCAGTGCTCGTGCGGAGAGGAGATCGCCGACATGTCGGTGCCGCATCACGCGGTGAGGTGCGCGCGCTTCGCGGTCGCCACGACCATCCACGACACAGTGAAGTTCATGCTTCGTGACTTCGCAGACGAGGCCGGCTTCGCTGTCCAGGTGGAGGACACGGCGCTCATTCCGCACCTGGAGGCGGCGCGAGCTCGACTGCAGGTTTTGCACGCGGGGGAGGGGCAGGGGCAGGAGCGGGCACGACAGACAGGACGGCAGCAGCGGCGGGATCAGGAGGGGGGGGAGAGGCAGGCGGGTGAGGAGGGAGAGAGGCAGGGGGCGGAGGAGGAGCAGGAGGGGCAGCAGCGGCGGTTCGGCAGGGAGGATCAGCAGCAGCAGCAGCAGCAGCAGCAGCAGCAGCCGCAGCAGCAGCAGCAGCAACAGCAGCAGGGCACGGGGGAGAGCCGGCGGGAGGAGGAGCAGCAGCAGCAGCGGCAGGGTGGCGGAGAGGGGCAGCAGCGGCGCGCGGGGGGAGAGGGGCAGGTACAGCAGCCGCTGGGAGCTCAGGCAGGGCCGCAGCAGGGGGCCCAGGCAGGACAGCAGCAGGGGACAGGGGACGGGCTCTTGGGCAGGGCACCGCCGAGGCGTGTGCGTTTCGCGCGCGAGGCGGTAGGAGAGGCGCACGCGGAGGGGAGGACAGGCGAGGGTGGGCTAGAGGGGTCGGTAGTAGGCGGGGGTATAGGAGGGACGGAGGGCGGGAGGGGAGGGGGGGCGGGAGGGAGAGAGGAGATGGCGGAAGGGGCGGGGGTGGCAGGGGGAGTGGGGGAGGGGAGAGCGGGAGGGAGGAGAGGGAGGGTGAGAGGGGGAGTTGGGAGGGGACCACGACGACCAGAGGAGGGACATCAGGGGACCAGACAGAGCAGCAGCCCGCGCAGCAGCAGCAGACGCCAGCCGCTCGCACAGGCCGCATAGGGGCACCCGCCCGCATTCCCGACCTCACCTGCAGGGCGCCGCGAGATGCTTTGATGGTGATTGTAGACGTCTCGGTGGCAGACCCACAGCGGGAGGGGAATGCGCAGTTCAGGCGGATGGCACCCACTCAGATTGGCGGCGCAGCAGCTAGGCGGGTGCAGGACAAGCTGCGACACTGGAGGCCGGTGTTACAGGGGTTGCAGCCGGATCCAGAGTTTTACGCCTGCGTAGTGGAGACTTTTGGGTGCCTGAGTGAGCCACTGCGGCAGTTCCTAGGGCTGTGTGCATCGCGGACAGCACGGCGGAGGAGAGATTCAGGGGCAGGGGATGACGGGTCGGCACGGATATTTGAGACGAGCCTCACTACGCGTCTCTCCGTGGCACTGCAGCGCGCGCAGGCAAATGTGATCATGCAGCATGCAGTGCGGCAGCTGGGCGGCTCCGACAATGGATGGATGCCAGCGCCTGTACCTTTGGGCGCTGGGCAGGGGAGTTGGCACCACATCACAGGGTGCTTCGAGAGTGCAGCAGATATGCAGTACATGTATGATGCATATGTGTAGAAAAACATATATAGGCCGTGCTTGAGACGCTGTGCCCGCGCTGTGCGCGTGGGCTGTTGTTTTGTTAGGTCCCAGGATGTCCCTTTGATATAGTCACACCCCCCCTCCCCTCTTCCCCTCTTCTCTTTCTCTCCTCTATCTCGCTCTCTTCTCCCCCACTCTTTCTGCTACCTTCTTCCTTCCACTATCTTCTCTTTCTTTCCTTCTCTATCTCTTCTCTCTCTCTTTTTTTCTTCTATACCTCTAAACGCTACTATGTCATAATAGCGCAACGCTCATGCCGAAAATCTCATATTTGGCTTTAGAATTGCTATATGACTTGTAACCCTCGTTATTTTTAATGAGAAAACTGCTCTCGCCCACTGGCGCTTAGCTGCGGAGTTCTGATGGGATCCGGCGTAGTAGCCAAGGTATGATCGTACCACGTGCAGTCCTGTCCGCGGTCCGCTTCCCACTCCTCCCCCGATGCAGCTCCCCTCTTTATACTCACATCCGCGGTCGTGCCCGCAAGAGGCTCGCCATCTCGCTGGGGGCGGAATGGACGCCCATACGTAGTCGCGCTCCGTGGCGTCCTATGCAGAGAGCGGCCCTCCGCAGAGCGGCGCGACATCGCCGCCCGGGCGGTTCGGAGAAGAATCCTCCTTTCTTTTTCCCACTGCCCCCTCCCGGGCACGGGAGCAGGCAGAAATGGGTACGACACGAGGACTTCCCGGGAGGTCACCCTGCCCAGTACTGCTCTCGCCCACTGGCGCTACGCTGCGGAGTTCTGATGGGATCCGGCGTAGTAGCCAAGGTATGATCGTACCACGTGCAGTCCTGTCCGCGGTCCGCTTCCCACTCCTCCCCCGATGCAGCTCCCCTCTTTATAGTCACATCCGCGGTCGTGCCCGCAAGAGGCTCGCCATCTCGCTGGGGGCGGAATGGACGCCCATACGTAGTCGCGCTCCGTGGCGTCCTATGCAGAGAGCGGCCCTCCGCAGAGCGGCGCGACATCGCCGCCCGGGCGGTTCGGAGAAGAATCCTCCTTTCTTTTTCCCACTGCCCCCTCCCGGGCACGGGAGCAGGCAGAAATGGGTACGACACGAGGACTTCCCGGGAGGTCACCCTGCCCAGAACTGCTCTCGCCCACTGGCGCTTAGCTGCGGAGTTCTGATGGGATCCGGCGTAGTAGCCAAGGTATGATCGTACCACGTGCAGTCCTGTCCGCGGTCCGCTTCCCACTCCTCCCCCGATGCAGCTCCCCTCTTTATAGTCACATCCGCGAACGTGCCCGCAAGAGGCTCGCCATCTCGCTGGGGGCGGAATGGACGCCCATACGTAGTCGCGCTCCGTGGCGTCCTATGCAGAGAGCGGCCCTCCGCAGAGCGGCGCGACATCGCCGCCCGGGCGGTTCGGAGAAGAATCCTCCTTTCTTTTTCCCACTGCCCCCTCCCGGGCACGGGAGCAGGCAGAAATGGGTACGACACGAGGACTTCCCGGGAGGTCACCCTGCCCAGTACTGCTCTCGCCCACTGGCGCTACGCTGCGGAGTTCTGATGGGATCCGGCGTAGTAGCCAAGGTATGATCGTACCACGTGCAGTCCTGTCCGCGGTCCGCTTCCCACTCCTCCCCCGATGCAGCTCCCCTCTTTATAGTCACATCCGCGGTCGTGCCCGCAAGAGGCTCGCCATCTCGCTGGGGGCGGAATGGACGCCCATACGTAGTCGCGCTCCGTGGCGTCCTATGCAGAGAGCGGCCCTCCGCAGAGCGGCGCGACATCGCCGCCCGGGCGGTTCGGAGAAGAATCCTCCTTTCTTTTTCCCACTGCCCCCTCCCGGGCACGGGAGCAGGCAGAAATGGGTACGACACGAGGACTTCCCGGGAGGTCACCCTGCCCAGTACTGCTCTCGCCCACTGGCGCTACGCTGCGGAGTTCTGATGGGATCCGGCGTAGTAGCCAAGGTATGATCGTACCACGTGCAGTCCTGTCCGCGGTCCGCTTCCCACTCCTCCCCCGATGCAGCTCCCCTCTTTATAGTCACATCCGCGAACGTGCCCGCAAGAGGCTCGCCATCTCGCTGGGGGCGGAATGGACGCCCATACGTAGTCGCGCTCCGTGGCGTCCTATGCAGAGAGCGGCCCTCCGCAGAGCGGCGCGACATCGCCGCCCGGCGGTTCGGAGAAGAATCCTCCTTTCTTTTTCCCACTGCCCCCTCCCGGGCACGGGAGCAGGCAGAAATGGGTACGACACGAGGACTTCCCGGGAGGTCACCCTGCCCAGAACTGCTCTCGCCCACTGGCGCTACGCTGCGGAGTTCTGATGGGATCCGGCGTAGTAGCCAAGGTATGATCGTACCACGTGCAGTCCTGTCCGCGGTCCGCTTCCCACTCCTCCCCCGATGCAGCTCCCCTCTTTATAGTCACATCCGCGGTCGTGCCCGCAAGAGGCTCGCCATCTCGCTGGGGGCGGAATGGACGCCCATACGTAGTCGCGCTCCGTGGCGTCCTATGCAGAGAGCGGCCCTCCGCAGAGCGGCGCGACATCGCCGCCCGGGCGGTTCGGAGAAGAATCCTCCTTTCTTTTTCCCACTGCCCCCTCCCGGGCACGGGAGCAGGCAGAAATGGGTACGACACGAGGACTTCCCGGGAGGTCACCCTGCCCAGTACTGCTCTCGCCCACTGGCGCTACGCTGCGGAGTTCTGATGGGATCCGGCGTAGTAGCCAAGGTATGATCGTACCACGTGCAGTCCTGTCCGCGGTCCGCTTCCCACTCCTCCCCCGATGCAGCTCCCCTCTTTATAGTCACATCCGCGGTCGTGCCCGCAAGAGGCTCGCCATCTCGCTGGGGGCGGAATGGACGCCCATACGTAGTCGCGCTCCGTGGCGTCCTATGCAGAGAGCGGCCCTCCGCAGAGCGGCGCGACATCGCCGCCCGGGCGGTTCGGAGAAGAATCCTCCTTTCTTTTTCCCACTGCCCCCTCCCGGGCACGGGAGCAGGCAGAAATGGGTACGACACGAGGACTTCCCGGGAGGTCACCCTGCCCAGAACTGCTCACTTCACTGTTTCATAGGAGGTTATAAGTGTTTGTATCGGAGGTGTAACGGGAAGGTATCGGCAACGGCTAGGAGCGGGTGAGACGGAAGCGGCGGCGAACACGACCCTGCGGTGTCGAGCAAATTTTCGCCACCCCCGTCGATCTCGCCATCCCACCCCGGCCGAGTTCCCCGTCACTCTTGCTCGCCTTCCACTCCCTCCCTTTCTCTCTCCTAGACTGCCGCGTCGCGCGTTTCTTAGCTCTCTAGTTTCTAAAGCTTAGAACCGCGCCACGCCAGCAAACCCTAATTTAGTCTCCCTGCACGGCATCGTTTTTCACGATGCCCTTTCCTCCCCCGCTAAGCGCTCGACTTTAGGCCAACACTAGCGCTAGGAGAGCCCCCACCTCCTCCACACCCATGGCCACAGGTAGCAAGGCTGGCACAGGTGAGGCCGGAGCAGGGCCTGTGGCAGGGGAGGGGGATGCGGCAGCACCGGGGGGTCCTGCAGAGGTGGCAGCAGAGATGGGGGTGTGGGAGGTGAAAGTGGGGGTGACGGAGAGGGCGGAGGGGGAAAGATCGGCAGAGACGGTGGGGGCTGGTGAGGACTCAGAGTGGGACGAGGCCGGGGACTCGGATGGGGACAACGCGAAGGACTCGGATTGGGTTTTGGAGGGCGCCGAGGACTCGGATGAGGACGTAGTTGAGCTCATAGCACCCGCTCCTAGTGCAGCCAGGCTCGAGGCCGTGTCCTCAGCAGGGGAGCCAGCGACGGGAGCTGCGGGGTTGGCAGGAGCGGCAGCTGGAGCGGAGGCGGAGGGGGAGGTGGCACGGGCTGGGGTAGAGAGGGCAGCATTAGAGGGTATGGCCCGGGCCTATGCGCGGTCCATGGCCGCATGTGGTGCGGCGCCGGAGGCAGCAGCAAGAGAGGCTGCAGGTGTGGCAACTGCAGGGGCGGTTGCAACAGTGGCAGCCATCAGGACCGCGGCAAAGGAGGCTGCCGCAGGAGTCACCGCAGGGGGTACTCCAGCGGAAGCTGCTATGGCAGAGGCGGAGGCAGGAGAGGCTGCATGGGGGAAGGTGGAAAAGGCGGCTGCAGAGGCGGCAGCAGCACGGGCTGTAGCCGCAGGGGGAGGAACGACAGCCGTGGTGGGAGGGGTGGCTGTGGGGGCTGCCGCAAAGGCCTTTGCAGAAGTGGCAGCAGCTCCAGCACCGGCAGAGGCGCAGGCACCTGCGCCGGCTGCAACGGGGGCGGCAGAAGGAGACCCTGCAGAGGTAGCAGCCGCTGGGGGTGGGGCCGCTCCAGAGTTGGCAGCAGCCGGGGGGGTGGTCGCGGCGGCGGCAGCAGCAGCTGGGGCTGCAGCAGAGACGGTGGCAGCGGGAGCATGGGCAGCGGCGGCAACAGCTGGGGCCTCCGCGGAGGAGGCGGCAGCAGTGGATCATGCAAGGGGTGCATCGGCTCGGGCTCGGGCTCGGGCTCGGGATGCGGCAGAGGCAGCAGCAGCAGGGGCCGCAGGGGCAGCCGGGGCGGATTTGGGGACAGCAGCAACAGCAGGCGCCCCTGCAGAGGCGGCAGAGGCGGCAGAGGCGGGAGCAGCGGCAGTGCGGGCGGCGACAGTGGCAGGAGCTGGAGCTGCCACCGCAGCGGAGGCAGCAGCAGCCGATCTTGCGAGGGGCGCAACGACCGGGGCTCGGGATGCCGCAGAGGCGGTGATGGCTGAAGCCGCTGCAGCGGCCAGGGTGGCTGCCGGGGAAGCAGAAGCAGACGAAGGAGTCCCTGCTGAGGCGGCGGGGGCGGGGACAACGGCAGAGGCGGCAGCAGCAGCAGCGGCAGCAGCAGCAACAGGAGCACGTGCAGGGGCGGCTGCTGGTGCGGCAGGGATAGGAGAGCCGCCGGAGGCGGCAGCAGCGGCAAGGCTACCTACGGCGGAGGAGGCAGGAAAGGGAGCTGTTGTACGCGCTCTCGCACGGGCTATTACCGGGGGGGGATGTATGCACGTCTGGCAGCTGCTGCGGCAGCAGCGGAGGAGGCAGAGATAGGGGCCGCTGGGGGGAAGGCAGCCAGGGGGAGCGCCACAGGGAAACCAGCAGCAAGTGCTGCGGCAGGGAAGGCAGCAGCGGGGGCAGCGGCAGGGAGAGTAGCAATGGGTCCCGCTGTTTCGCAGGCAGCGGCTAGCAGGGCCGCGACAGCGGCGGCGGCGGCAGCGGCGGCGGCGGCGGCTGCGGTGGTGTCAGCGGAAAAAGGGGCAGCAGGGGGTGCCGCACCGGGGGCAGCAGCGGAAGCGGCTGCAGGGAAGGCAGCAGCAGGACCAGCAGGGCGTGCCGCGGGGGAGACAACCGCCGGGGTAGCTGCGGGGATGGCAGCAACAGGAAGGGCAGCTGGGGCGGCAGCAGGGAAGGCAGCAACAGCAGCAACACGGGCAGCGGCAAGAGGTGCTGCACGGGAGAGGGCAGCGGGAGCCGCTGCAGGAAGGGCAGCAGCTGCGGCAGCTCCAGCAGGAGGTGTGGTGAGAGAGACAGCAGCCGGAGCGGCTGATGGTAAGGCAGTAACTGGGACGAGGGCTAAGGAGGCCGGACACAGGGCAGCACCTAGGCCGGAAGAGACTGTCTCATCCCCTCCCACCCCCCCCATCTCCCCCCTCCCCCCCCTCCTTCCCCTCCTCCCCCTACTTCCCTTGCGGTCCCCCGTCCCCCCTTCCCCCCCCTACTCCCAATCCCATGCATGCAGGGGCTTCACCAGCGGCGCAGGGCCCTCGCCGTGGGCTACAACCCAGGGCTATGGGCGGGGCGGCCCGAGCCTTGGCGTTTTTGGCGGACCCCTGTACACCCGAGCCAATGATCGGGACGCAGTCTCACCACTCCCTCTCCCCCCACACCCTCCCCTTACGGCCGAGTGTGCCCCAGGAGGCGGCCGCCGAGGATGGCTCGGACAATGATGGCCCGCTCGCCGGATATATCTTGGTCGACTCAACCCTTCCTTGCTCTCCCTCAGCAGCCCTCGCGCCGACGCCAGGAGCACAAACAACAGCCGGGCAGGTTGCTCCCTCCCCCTCCCCACCCACGCAGGCTGTCGCGCCGGACGCCTCGACCTGGGTAGCACAAGGAGGGGCGGCTCTTGCCCAACCCCCCTCGTCAGTCCGCCCCCAACCCTGTTCCACCCCAGGTGCCTCCCGCCCGGCACAGGGCACACACCCTGTCGGCCACACGGGCGCTTCCCATAGGAACGGTGAGCGGGGTGCACCCCCGGCAAGGGGGAGCAACCCGAATCAACTCCCTCTCGGCCCTCGCCGTCTCACCCCGGCTGATCCCACTTCCCAAGCCCCACAGCTAAGCTTCGGGCCAGGCGGGGGTCCCTCGGCGCCCACTCTGCTTCCCTTCCCGGCCGTGGGCCCTACCTTGCCCGCGCCCCGCCCCCCCCTCCCTCTCCCACACATCCCACCCGCCCCCTTTCCCCGGCAATCCAGCCGGAACTCCCCTCGCGCCCTTTCGTGCAGCCCCCAGGTTTCATGTCCCGCACGGCAGGCGACCGCGGGAGTGCCTCCCTCTTGGGCCCTCCCTTGTCACTTCCGTCCCACACACCCTCCAGCCCAGCGCTGGGGCACCCACCCTTCCCACCCCCTCCATTGAGCGTCCCACCCGCGCTTAACCCTTACCCTACTGCCCAACCACCTCTCTTGCCCTGCCCCCCTACTCCCGCCCGACCCATCAGCGCGAACAGGGGCGAGGCGAGGGCGGCCCCCCCATCTCACCCTCCCCCTTCCTGCCCCACACACTCCTTGCCCGTCAGTATTCAGGTGGTCGCAGCGAGCCACCCATCCGCGATGGACGTCGACAAAACAGGAGTAGGGGACCTGCATGATGTCTCCTCCCAACCCTACATCCCCCTTACCGTCGCTCCGCACAGGCAGCGATATCGGCAGACGCCCAGGGGGAAGGGGACGGGGAAGGTGTCGGGGGAGGGCGGGGCATTGCGGACGGTGCTGCCGATTCCACCACCGCCACCACCCCTCACTTTCTCCCCCTGTCCCCATCTGCACCCGCCCCAGGGCAGGCCGCCATCCATGCGCAGGCTAACCCATCGCGGCAAGCGGCCATCGGCGGCCACACCCCCTCACCCTCCCAGCTGCCCCATTCTCACACTCCTCACCCACAGCAGGGGGCGGTCACACGGCAGCCGCTGATTGGACAGTTTGCCCAACCCCACACAGGTCGCCGGAAGAAGGGCAAGGGCACGGGGACACCCGGGGCAGCCCGGCGCTCGGAGCAGCCGGACACGACTCCACCCTCTGCTGGCGTGCAGCCCTTACCATCCACCACCCCTCAGGCGACCCCATCATTGCCCCCGGCCCGCCACCCACTGCCCTCCCATAACCAGGATGGCGAGCTTCGGACGGTCTCCCTCCCTCACCCCACCCAGGCCCCACTCCCCTGTCACCCCCCCATCCCGCCTTTGGCCCCCCACCAGACGGTCGCCGCCGATGCCCCATCCGCGATGGAAATCGAACCAGAGGCGGAAGAGGTGTCGTTAGCCTCTCGCAAGCAAGCCTATATCCCCCCCCAGCGTCGGTCCCCACCACCCGCTTCTTTGTCCCCCTCCGGTCCACAACCTCTCACCCAGGTCAGGGCCCACGGTGGTTCGCCCACCACGACCAACCAGCCTGCCCTGCTCCCCCTACCCACAGGTGGACAGTCGCAGGGGGCAGATGGGGAGACGGAGGCGGCAGTTGCCGACCTTCTCAGGATATGGGACGCGTCCGCCACCCCCTCTGCGCCCGCTTGTCCAGGTCGGGTGGGGGGGGGCACCGTGGACCCTGCTCCAGACATCTCCCATACCCCCCCTTCCCCCCCGTCCACCGCCCTCACACCGGAGCGCATGGTGATCGATGACTCCGACGCGGCCCCCGACCACCCCCTCTGCCCAGATGCGTCCACTGCTCCAGCTGCCCACACCCCAGCTCCTACGTCCCCCGGCGAGGCCACTGAGCTAGCCTGCCATCCGGACGCATGCCCCGCCCTGGTCACTGTCCCCCTGGTCGTACCATCCTCACCCACGCCCGCGCATCCCGCCGTCGCGCCTCCCCCCCGGCCATTGCCTTGCCCGCCCCAGACGCACGGCCCGCCCCCCACTTGGGCCACCGACCTCGGACAGGGGCCCATCGAAGAGGCGGTTGTCGGCGCTGACGGCTCGGAGAGCACGATGCCAGTCCCCCCGCACGACACAGCGGTGCCGACAGGAGGACTAGCGGTCACGTGTCCCACCTGCCGGAGCACCTTGGTGAGCAGCCACGCTCTTGCTCTCCATGCACCCCATTGTCAGCCGGCCGATGCTCTACGCAGGGCTGAGGCCCTTCAGGATGCCACCTCTTCCCCTCCCTCATTCAGCGAGCCACGCGCCTCCGTCGTCACATTCTCGGACGCCCAGTGGTCGTCCTTGGATGCGGTCGATTGGACGGATTATTTCTCACCGAGACGCATGCATGCTCGCCCGCTCCGGCGTATCCCGCCGAGGGTTCGCGGGGGGTACGTGGATGTCCTCTGCGCGATCTTGCAGCGCATCAGCCAGCACCCCAGGGCGGGCGGACCGACGTTTCTGCTGTTGGCCATCCCGACCCTCCTCCTCACGCCAGCTACACCACCTGCACGATCACATACGGCGGCCATCACTGCGCGCATTGCGCGCTTCCTTGGTGGAGATTGGGACGCCCTCATAGCAGAGGCGCTCCACCGCCGCACACCCCTCGCGGCATGCACGACACGCCGCGCCCGCGCCGCGACTCCGACGCCTGACGAGCGCCGCATTGCCCGTTGCCTCCGCCTGGCAGCGTGCAATGAGACGTCACGTGCTTGTGCGGCCTTGGAGTCGGCAGAGGCGGCCCCGGACGGAGATCAGACGGTGCACCGCCTACGGGCGAAGCACCCTTGCGCGGAGCGCCCCATCCCAGCATGGGTGGCCTCCTTTCGGGATGCAGCCCTGGTCCTGAGCATTGAGCATCTGCGCAGGGCCATTTTCACCGCTCCGAGGGGCTCTTCGGGAGGACCTTCGGGATGGGTGGCCGAGCACTTCCGCGACACCTTCTTGGCCTTCCCGAAGGCCCTCCCTACCTTGCTTGCTGTCTACCAGCAGTGGCTCCGGGGCGACTGCGCCCCGGCCGCACTTCCCATGCTGGCATCATCCACCCTCGTCGCGCTCTCCAAGCCGAACATGGACGTTCGGCCGATAGCCATAGGGGAGGTCCTTGCGCGCCTACTCCAGCGGGCGGCATGCCTGCAGCTGCGCGAGCCGATGGCTCGAGTCTTCCTACCATCACAGCAGTTCGGGGTCGGGGTGACCTGCGGTACTGAGCTGGTCGTTAGGGGCGTCCGTCGCGGCAGGGCGGACCACCCGGACTGGGTGGTCGTCGAGCTCGACGTGGCGAACGCCTTTAACTCGTATCACCGCGATCGCTTGTTCGAGGCACTGCGAGCGAGCTCCGAGTTTCGCTGCCTCATCCCTTTCGTTGCCCTTTTCTACGGCACGCCATCCTCGCTGTTCTTTCGGACCGGGCGAGGAGTCACCACCATCCGCTCAGAGCGAGGATCTCGTCAGGGCGACCCTCTGAGCCCATTTCTCTTTGCCCTGACACAGAGGCTGGCACTGGAGCCAGTGCTGGCGGACGAGGACGTGCAGCTGTGGTCATACGCGGATGACACGTACGTCCTGGGCACACCAGAGAGGGTGTTGCAGAGCTTCACTGCCATTCAGAGGCGCTTGGGCGAGCTGGGCCTCTCGGTCCAGCCGCACAAGTGCCTGGTCTACCCAGCGGCGTCCACACGACCGGAGGAGTTGGCAGGCTTCACCGCCCTCGGCCTCGATGTCGCGCGCCGGGGTTTGACGGTTGCGGGGGTGCCTGTCGGCACGGAGGATTTCGTCCACACGAGACTTAGGGAGCGCCTGGAGCGGATGGCCCGAGTGCTGCCGTGGCTGCCTAGGTTACGTGACCCCCAGGTGGCTGCGCACCTGCTCTCAGCATGCGTCAGCACGCGCCCTCAGTACCTAGCGCGCACGGTCCCGCCCACACAGGCGGTGCGCTCCATCTTCGCGCGCTGGGACGATGGCCTCGGCGAGGCCTTCCAGCGGCTATTTGTCGCGGGCACCTGGAGCGGAGGAGGAGAGATACGCGGCGCGGCCTTGGACCAGGCATTTCTGCCCATTAGGCTGGGCGGATTCGGCATCCGCCGCATGGCGCGCGCGGCGCCAGCGAGCTACCTCTGCTCCTGGGCGCAGTGCGCCCCCATCCTCTGCTCCCTCCCACAGATCGGTGAGTCCTTCAGACGGGCGCTCGCGGCGGAGGACCCTGCAGGGATCGATCCCCACATCGCGACGGCTTTGGCAGACCTTCCACCGGCAGTCCGGGCCTTGCTGCCACCCCTGTCCTCTTGCATCTCGAGCGCGCCGGACGGTCTGTTTTCTGAGGTGAGTCGGCACCTAGAGGCGGCGGCATTAGAGTCCGTTCGTGGACGTCACACTGACCCTTTGCATCTTGCCCGTTTGACATCCCTTCAGGGCGCAGATGCAGGCGCGTGGCTCACGGCGGTCCCTTATGCAGATCCACTGCGCATCCCGGAGGCGCAGTGGCAGGTGGCTTCATGTTTTCGCCTTGGTCTGTCTATCCCCCAGTTAGCCCTTACAGGTCGTTGCTCGTGCGGACGGGAGATCGAGGACATGTCGGTGCCCCACCACGTCGTACGCTGTCAGCACTACCACGTCACCACGACCGTCCACAACGCCGTGAAGTACGTCCTTCGCGACATCGCGCGCGAGGCGGGTTTCGCGGTCAGGGTGGAGGACACGGCGCTCATCCCACACCTGGAGGAGGTGCGACGGCGCTTGACAGCCCAGCGGCAGCGGGAGGGGGCACAGGCGGGAGGGCCTACGCTGGCACAGGGACGGACTCGGACAGGACGGGGGGCACAGAGGGCCCAGGGAGGGGAGGAGGGACGGCAGGGAGGGGGGGAGGGACAGCAGGGAGGGGGGAGGGACAGCAGGGAGGGGGGAGGGACAGCAGGGTGGGGGGGAGGGACAGCAAGGAGGGGGGGAGGGGCAGCAGGGTGGGGGGGAGGGACACGAGGGAGGGGGGGAGCACCAGGACAGCAGGGAGTGTGGGGACTGCCGGGACAGTCGGGACAGCAGGCACGGCTGGTGCCGCAGACGCGGGGGACAGAGGCGGGAGTCCTTGGACAGGGGCCACGGCCACAGGGACAGCCCGTTTCACACGGTAGGACGGTACAGCCGCAGCAGCCGCAGCTGAGGGAGGGCCAGGGGAGGCGCCTGGGGCGAGGGAGACGGGGGGCTCAGGAAGGGGGAAGGGCGGATGGGGCTCGGGGGGAAAGGACTCAGGGTACCGCAGGAGAGGGGGGGCAGCCCGACCACAGGGTGGTGGGGGGGAGGAGATCGAGGAGATAGTCATGGTCGAGGGAGGGGGTCAGATAGCAGGGGACCGAGCACGGGTCGGGCCAGAGGCAGCTAGAGGGGCCAGAGGGGGTGTGGAGCTTGATCCCCGCCAGGGGACAGGGGCACAGGAGGGCGAGAGAGTGGCACGGGGAGGGGGGATAGCAGGGGGGACGGGGGGGGGCGAGGGAGTGGGGAGGACGGGAGGAGCGGGGCAGGTAGATGGAGAGGGTCTGGGGGAGGGGATAGGAGAGGCAGGGGGGTTGGGAGGGGTAGGGGCAAGGGAAAGGGAAGGGAGGGTGAGAGAGGAGGATGAGGGGGGGACAATGGCACAAGGAGGAGGGGGACCAGGGGACACGACTAGGCAGCAGCCCACACCGCAGCACAGCACAGCCGGACGCGCAGGCCGCGCAGGAGCACCCGCACGCATCCCCGACCTCACATGCCGCGACGCTGAGAAGGCACTCATGATTATTATAGACGTGTCGATAGCGGATCCACAGCGGGGTGGGAACGCACAGTTTCGGCGAGCGGCATCCACACAGCGGGGGGTGGCGGCGACGAGGCGGGTGCAGGAGAAGATCAGGGACTGGCGGCCGGCCTTGGTAGGGGTGCAGCCGGAGCCGATGTTCTATGCGTGCGTTGCTGAGACTTTCGGGCACTTGAGCGTGCCACTGCGAGATTTTCTGGGGCTCTGCTCACAACGCATAGCGACGCAGCGGCGGGACGCGGGTAGTGGGGAGGAGGCATCGGCGCGGATCTTTGAGTGCGCTCTCACCACGCGAGTTTCAGTGGCGCTGCAGCGTGCGCAGGCGAACATTATCACACAGCATGCAGTGCGACAGCTGGGAGAGTCGGACGATGCATGGATGCCGATACCGGTACCGCTTGGCGCAGGCAGCTGGAGCGGACATCACATCAGTGGCTGCTTTGACAGTGTGGCCGATATGCAGTACCTGTTTGATGGCTATGTGTAGATGAAAACAAGAGTAGGCTGTGCTTGAAACGCTGTGTCTGCGCTGTAGGCGCGGGTTGCTGCTTTGTCGTGTCCCTTGGACCCCTCCCTCCTTACAGTCACACCCCTCCTCTCTTCCACCTCTCTCACCTCCCTCTTTCTTTTCCCTTACTCCTATCTTTCTTGATCCTCCTACTTCTTCTATCCTTCTCTTTCTTTCCCTCTCTTTCTACCTTCCCTTCTCTTCTTTTCCTCTCTACTTTCTCTTCTCTTCTTTCCCTTCTCTTCCTAACTTCCAAAAACATTACTGTGGTCGTATAGCGTAACATTTATGCCGAAATTTCCAACTTCGGTTTCATATTGGCTATATGACTTGTAACTCTCTTTGTTATTAATAAAATAACTGCTCTCGCCCACTGGCGCTTAGCTGCGGAGTTCTGATGGGATCCGGCGTAGTAGCCAAGGTATGATCGTACCACGTGCAGTCCTGTCCGCGGTCCGCTTCCCACTCCTCCCCCGATGCAGCTCCCCTCTTTATACTCACATCCGCGGTCGTGCCCGCAAGAGGCTCGCCATCTCGCTGGGGGCGGAATGGACGCCCATACGTAGTCGCGCTCCGTGGCGTCCTATGCAGAGAGCGGCCCTCCGCAGAGCGGCGCGACATCGCCGCCCGGGCGGTTCGGAGAAGAATCCTCCTTTCTTTTTCCCACTGCCCCCTCCCGGGCACGGGAGCAGGCAGAAATGGGTACGACACGAGGACTTCCCGGGAGGTCACCCTGCCCAGTACTGCTCTCGCCCACTGGCGCTACGCTGCGGAGTTCTGATGGGATCCGGCGTAGTAGCCAAGGTATGATCGTACCACGTGCAGTCCTGTCCGCGGTCCGCTTCCCACTCCTCCCCCGATGCAGCTCCCCTCTTTATAGTCACATCCGCGGTCGTGCCCGCAAGAGGCTCGCCATCTCGCTGGGGGCGGAATGGACGCCCATACGTAGTCGCGCTCCGTGGCGTCCTATGCAGAGAGCGGCCCTCCGCAGAGCGGCGCGACATCGCCGCCCGGGCGGTTCGGAGAAGAATCCTCCTTTCTTTTTCCCACTGCCCCCTCCCGGGCACGGGAGCAGGCAGAAATGGGTACGACACGAGGACTTCCCGGGAGGTCACCCTGCCCAGAACTGCTCTCGCCCACTGGCGCTTAGCTGCGGAGTTCTGATGGGATCCGGCGTAGTAGCCAAGGTATGATCGTACCACGTGCAGTCCTGTCCGCGGTCCGCTTCCCACTCCTCCCCCGATGCAGCTCCCCTCTTTATACTCACATCCGCGGTCGTGCCCGCAAGAGGCTCGCCATCTCGCTGGGGGCGGAATGGACGCCCATACGTAGTCGCGCTCCGTGGCGTCCTATGCAGAGAGCGGCCCTCCGCAGAGCGGCGCGACATCGCCGCCCGGGCGGTTCGGAGAAGAATCCTCCTTTCTTTTTCCCACTGCCCCCTCCCGGGCACGGGAGCAGGCAGAAATGGGTACGACACGAGGACTTCCCGGGAGGTCACCCTGCCCAGTACTGCTCTCGCCCACTGGCGCTACGCTGCGGAGTTCTGATGGGATCCGGCGTAGTAGCCAAGGTATGATCGTACCACGTGCAGTCCTGTCCGCGGTCCGCTTCCCACTCCTCCCCCGATGCAGCTCCCCTCTTTATAGTCACATCCGCGGTCGTGCCCGCAAGAGGCTCGCCATCTCGCTGGGGGCGGAATGGACGCCCATACGTAGTCGCGCTCCGTGGCGTCCTATGCAGAGAGCGGCCCTCCGCAGAGCGGCGCGACATCGCCGCCCGGGCGGTTCGGAGAAGAATCCTCCTTTCTTTTTCCCACTGCCCCCTCCCGGGCACGGGAGCAGGCAGAAATGGGTACGACACGAGGACTTCCCGGGAGGTCACCCTGCCCAGAACTGCTCTCGCCCACAGGGACAGCCCGTTTCACACGGTAGGACGGTACAGCCGCAGCAGCCGCAGCTGAGGGAGGGCCAGGGGAGGCGCCTGGGGCGAGGGAGACGGGGGGCTCAGGAAGGGGGAAGGGCGGATGGGGCTCGGGGGGAAAGGACTCAGGGTACCGCAGGAGAGGGGGGGGCAGCCCGACCACAGGGTGGTGGGGGGGAGGAGATCGAGGAGATAGTCATGGTCGAGGGAGGGGGTCAGATAGCAGGGGACCGAGCACGGGTCGGGCCAGAGGCAGCTAGAGGGGCCAGAGGGGGTGTGGAGCTTGATCCCCGCCAGGGGACAGGGGCACAGGAGGGCGAGAGAGTGGCACGGGGAGGGGGGATAGCAGGGGGACGGGGGGGGGCGAGGGAGTGGGGAGGACGGGAGGAGCGGGGCAGGTAGATGGAGAGGGTCTGGGGGAGGGGATAGGAGAGGCAGGGGGTTGGGAGGGGTAGGGGCAAGGGAAAGGGAAGGGAGGGTGAGAGAGGAGGATGAGGGGGGACAATGGCACAAGGAGGAGGGGGACCAGGGGACACGACTAGGCAGCAGCCCACACCGCAGCACAGCACAGCCGGACGCGCAGGCCGCGCAGGAGCACCCGCACGCATCCCCGACCTCACATGCCGCGACGCTGAGAAGGCACTCATGATTATTATAGACGTGTCGATAGCGGATCCACAGCGGGGTGGGAACGCACAGTTTCGGCGAGCGGCATCCACACAGCGGGGGGTGGCGGCGACGAGGCGGGTGCAGGAGAAGATCAGGGACTGGCGGCCGGCCTTGGTAGGGGTGCAGCCGGAGCCGATGTTCTATGCGTGCGTTGCTGAGACTTTCGGGCACTTGAGCGTGCCACTGCGAGATTTTCTGGGGCTCTGCTCACAACGCATAGCGACGCAGCGGCGGGACGCGGGTAGTGGGGAGGAGGCATCGGCGCGGATCTTTGAGTGCGCTCTCACCACGCGAGTTTCAGTGGCGCTGCAGCGTGCGCAGGCGAACATTATCACACAGCATGCAGTGCGACAGCTGGGAGAGTCGGACGATGCATGGATGCCGATACCGGTACCGCTTGGCGCAGGCAGCTGGAGCGGACATCACATCAGTGGCTGCTTTGACAGTGTGGCCGATATGCAGTACCTGTTTGATGGCTATGTGTAGATGAAAACAAGAGTAGGCTGTGCTTGAAACGCTGTGTCTGCGCTGTAGGCGCGGGTTGCTGCTTTGTCGTGTCCCTTGGACCCCTCCCTCCTTACAGTCACACCCCTCCTCTCTTCCACCTCTCTCACCTCCCTCTTTCTTTTCCCTTACTCCTATCTTTCTTGATCCTCCTACTTCTTCTATCCTTCTCTTTCTTTCCCTCTCTTTCTACCTTCCCTTCTCTTCTTTTCCTCTCTACTTTCTCTTCTCTTCTTTCCCTTCTCTTCCTAACTTCCAAAAACATTACTGTGGTCGTATAGCGTAACATTTATGCCGAAATTTCCAACTTCGGTTTCATATTGGCTATATGACTTGTAACTCTCTTTGTTATTAATAAAATAACTGCTCTCGCCCACTGGCGCTTAGCTGCGGAGTTCTGATGGGATCCGGCGTAGTAGCCAAGGTATGATCGTACCACGTGCAGTCCTGTCCGCGGTCCGCTTCCCACTCCTCCCCCGATGCAGCTCCCCTCTTTATAGTCACATCCGCGAACGTGCCCGCAAGAGGCTCGCCATCTCGCTGGGGGCGGAATGGACGCCCATACGTAGTCGCGCTCCGTGGCGTCCTATGCAGAGAGCGGCCCTCCGCAGAGCGGCGCGACATCGCCGCCCGGGCGGTTCGGAGAAGAATCCTCCTTTCTTTTTCCCACTGCCCCCTCCCGGGCACGGGAGCAGGCAGAAATGGGTACGACACGAGGACTTCCCGGGAGGTCACCCTGCCCAGTACTGCTCTCGCCCACTGGCGCTACGCTGCGGAGTTCTGATGGGATCCGGCGTAGTAGCCAAGGTATGATCGTACCACGTGCAGTCCTGTCCGCGGTCCGCTTCCCACTCCTCCCCCGATGCAGCTCCCCTCTTTATAGTCACATCCGCGGTCGTGCCCGCAAGAGGCTCGCCATCTCGCTGGGGGCGGAATGGACGCCCATACGTAGTCGCGCTCCGTGGCGTCCTATGCAGAGAGCGGCCCTCCGCAGAGCGGCGCGACATCGCCGCCCGGGCGGTTCGGAGAAGAATCCTCCTTTCTTTTTCCCACTGCCCCCTCCCGGGCACGGGAGCAGGCAGAAATGGGTACGACACGAGGACTTCCCGGGAGGTCACCCTGCCCAGTACTGCTCTCGCCCACTGGCGCTACGCTGCGGAGTTCTGATGGGATCCGGCGTAGTAGCCAAGGTATGATCGTACCACGTGCAGTCCTGTCCGCGGTCCGCTTCCCACTCCTCCCCCGATGCAGCTCCCCTCTTTATAGTCACATCCGCGGTCGTGCCCGCAAGAGGCTCGCCATCTCGCTGGGGGCGGAATGGACGCCCATACGTAGTCGCGCTCCGTGGCGTCCTATGCAGAGAGCGGCCCTCCGCAGAGCGGCGCGACATCGCCGCCCGGGCGGTTCGGAGAAGAATCCTCCTTTCTTTTTCCCACTGCCCCCTCCCGGGCACGGGAGCAGGCAGAAATGGGTACGACACGAGGACTTCCCGGGAGGTCACCCTGCCCAGTACTGCTCTCGCCCACTGGCGCTACGCTGCGGAGTTCTGATGGGATCCGGCGTAGTAGCCAAGGTATGATCGTACCACGTGCAGTCCTGTCCGCGGTCCGCTTCCCACTCCTCCCCCGATGCAGCTCCCCTCTTTATAGTCACATCCGCGGTCGTGCCCGCAAGAGGCTCGCCATCTCGCTGGGGGCGGAATGGACGCCCATACGTAGTCGCGCTCCGTGGCGTCCTATGCAGAGAGCGGCCCTCCGCAGAGCGGCGCGACATCGCCGCCCGGGCGGTTCGGAGAAGAATCCTCCTTTCTTTTTCCCACTGCCCCCTCCCGGGCACGGGAGCAGGCAGAAATGGGTACGACACGAGGACTTCCCGGGAGGTCACCCTGCCCAGTACTGCTCTCGCCCACTGGCGCTACGCTGCGGAGTTCTGATGGGATCCGGCGTAGTAGCCAAGGTATGATCGTACCACGTGCAGTCCTGTCCGCGGTCCGCTTCCCACTCCTCCCCCGAGGCAGCTCCCCTCTTTATAGTCACATCCGCGGTCGTGCCCGCAAGAGGCTCGCCATCTCGCTGGGGGCGGAATGGACGCCCATACGTAGTCGCGCTCCGTGGCGTCCTATGCAGAGAGCGGCCCTCCGCAGAGCGGCGCGACATCGCCGCCCGGGCGGTTCGGAGAAGAATCCTCCTTTCTTTTTCCCACTGCCCCCTCCCGGGCACGGGAGCAGGCAGAAATGGGTACGACACGAGGACTTCCCGGGAGGTCACCCTGCCCAGAACTGCTCTCGCCCACTGGCGCTACGCTGCGGAGTTCTGATGGGATCCGGCGTAGTAGCCAAGGTATGATCGTACCACGTGCAGTCCTGTCCGCGGTCCGCTTCCCACTCCTCCCCCGATGCAGCTCCCCTCTTTATAGTCACATCCGCGACGTGCCCGCAAGAGGCTCGCCATCTCGCTGGGGGCGGAATGGACGCCCATACGTAGTCGCGCTCCGTGGCGTCCTATGCAGAGAGCGGCCCTCCGCAGAGCGGCGCGACATCGCCGCCCGGGCGGTTCGGAGAAGAATCCTCCTTTCTTTTTCCCACTGCCCCCTCCCGGGCACGGGAGCAGGCAGAAATGGGTACGACACGAGGACTTCCCGGGAGGTCACCCTGCCCAGAACTGCTCTCGCCCACTGGCGCTAGCTGCGGAGTTCTGATGGGATCCGGCGTAGTAGCCAAGGTATGATCGTACCACGTGCAGTCCTGTCCGCGGTCCGCTTCCCACTCCTCCCCCGAGGCAGCTCCCCTCTTTATAGTCACATCCGCGTCGTGCCCGCAAGAGGCTCGCCATCTCGCTGGGGGCGGAATGGACGCCCATACGTAGTCGCGCTCCGTGGCGTCCTATGCAGAGAGCGGCCCTCCGCAGAGCGGCGCGACATCGCCGCCCGGGCGGTTCGGAGAAGAATCCTCCTTTCTTTTTCCCACTGCCCCCTCCCGGGCACGGGAGCAGGCAGAAATGGGTACGACACGAGGACTTCCCGGGAGGTCACCCTGCCCAGAACTGCTCTCGCCCACTGGCGCTTAGCTGCGGAGTTCTGATGGGATCCGGCGTAGTAGCCAAGGTATGATCGTACCACGTGCAGTCCTGTCCGCGGTCCGCTTCCCACTCCTCCCCCGATGCAGCTCCCCTCTTTATAGTCACATCCGCGAACGTGCCCGCAAGAGGCTCGCCATCTCGCTGGGGGCGGAATGGACGCCCATACGTAGTCGCGCTCCGTGGCGTCCTATGCAGAGAGCGGCCCTCCGCAGAGCGGCGCGACATCGCCGCCCGGGCGGTTCGGAGAAGAATCCTCCTTTCTTTTTCCCACTGCCCCCTCCCGGGCACGGGAGCAGGCAGAAATGGGTACGACACGAGGACTTCCCGGGAGGTCACCCTGCCCAGAACTGCTCTCGCCCACTGGCGCTAGCTGCGGAGTTCTGATGGGATCCGGCGTAGTAGCCAAGGTATGATCGTACCACGTGCAGTCCTGTCCGCGGTCCGCTTCCCACTCCTCCCCCGATGCAGCTCCCCTCTTTATAGTCACATCCGCGTCGTGCCCGCAAGAGGCTCGCCATCTCGCTGGGGGCGGAATGGACGCCCATACGTAGTCGCGCTCCGTGGCGTCCTATGCAGAGAGCGGCCCTCCGCAGAGCGGCGCGACATCGCCGCCCGGGCGGTTCGGAGAAGAATCCTCCTTTCTTTTTCCCACTGCCCCCTCCCGGGCACGGGAGCAGGCAGAAATGGGTACGACACGAGGACTTCCCGGGAGGTCACCCTGCCCAGAACTGCTCTCGCCCACTGGCGCTTAGCTGCGGAGTTCTGATGGGATCCGGCGTAGTAGCCAAGGTATGATCGTACCACGTGCAGTCCTGTCCGCGGTCCGCTTCCCACTCCTCCCCCGATGCAGCTCCCCTCTTTATAGTCACATCCGCGAACGTGCCCGCAAGAGGCTCGCCATCTCGCTGGGGGCGGAATGGACGCCCATACGTAGTCGCGCTCCGTGGCGTCCTATGCAGAGAGCGGCCCTCCGCAGAGCGGCGCGACATCGCCGCCCGGGCGGTTCGGAGAAGAATCCTCCTTTCTTTTTCCCACTGCCCCCTCCCGGGCACGGGAGCAGGCAGAAATGGGTACGACACGAGGACTTCCCGGGAGGTCACCCTGCCCAGAACTGCTCTCGCCCACTGGCGCCTAGCTGCGGAGTTCTGATGGGATCCGGCGTAGTAGCCAAGGTATGATCGTACCACGTGCAGTCCTGTCCGCGGTCCGCTTCCCACTCCTCCCCCGATGCAGCTCCCCTCTTTATAGTCACATCCGCGAACGTGCCCGCAAGAGGCTCGCCATCTCGCTGGGGGCGGAATGGACGCCCATACGTAGTCGCGCTCCGTGGCGTCCTATGCAGAGAGCGGCCCTCCGCAGAGCGGCGCGACATCGCCGCCCGGGCGGTTCGGAGAAGAATCCTCCTTTCTTTTTCCCACTGCCCCCTCCCGGGCACGGGAGCAGGCAGAAATGGGTACGACACGAGGACTTCCCGGGAGGTCACCCTGCCCAGTACTGCTCTCGCCCACTGGCGCTTAGCTGCGGAGTTCTGATGGGATCCGGCGTAGTAGCCAAGGTATGATCGTACCACGTGCAGTCCTGTCCGCGGTCCGCTTCCCACTCCTCCCCCGATGCAGCTCCCCTCTTTATAGTCACATCCGCGAACGTGCCCGCAAGAGGCTCGCCATCTCGCTGGGGGCGGAATGGACGCCCATACGTAGTCGCGCTCCGTGGCGTCCTATGCAGAGAGCGGCCCTCCGCAGAGCGGCGCGACATCGCCGCCCGGGCGGTTCGGAGAAGAATCCTCCTTTCTTTTTCCCACTGCCCCCTCCCGGGCACGGGAGCAGGCAGAAATGGGTACGACACGAGGACTTCCCGGGAGGTCACCCTGCCCAGTACTGCTCTCGCCCACTGGCGCTACGCTGCGGAGTTCTGATGGGATCCGGCGTAGTAGCCAAGGTATGATCGTACCACGTGCAGTCCTGTCCGCGGTCCGCTTCCCACTCCTCCCCCGATGCAGCTCCCCTCTTTATAGTCACATCCGCGGTCGTGCCCGCAAGAGGCTCGCCATCTCGCTGGGGGCGGAATGGACGCCCATACGTAGTCGCGCTCCGTGGCGTCCTATGCAGAGAGCGGCCCTCCGCAGAGCG